ATTATTTGTTTAAAAATACAACAGGAAGGACTAGTGACACAGTTTAGTGGGTAAAGCTGCCTGCTGCGAAGACTGAAGTCTTGAGTTTGAATTCTCCAGGTTTGCCTTCTGACCTCCACACATATACTACCACATATATGTGCACATGTGTGCATTCATGCACACACACATTTTAAAATATACAATAGTAGGTTATGTGACAAATAGGTACATCAGGACACTGGAAAATTACACAGAAATAAACACAAATGAGCCATCAAGAAACATGGAGGAAGTATGACTTGTATCTTGCCTAAAAAAGAAGCCAATATGGAAAGGCTAATATTCTGTGAATCCTATTTCAGGATATTTTGGAAAAGAACTATAGTGATGTTAAAAACAGTATTTACCACGAAATTGGCATTACAAAAGAGGGAGATAAATAGGTGCAGTATACTGAACTTAAAGGCACTGAAATATCCTACGCAATCCTATAAGGGTGGATGCATGATAATATGAAGCTATCAAAACCCACAGAATACTGCAGTAAGAAGAACCTTAACGTCAATTCTGAATTACAGCTAATGATAATGTCTCAGTACTGATTTGTTAACTGCAAAAAATGCACCTCACTAAAATAAGATGTATCAGTACATAAAATGGGGGATGGGGTATTTGATGGGTAGCTTTAGTTGTCAATGTAACCCAGTCTGAAATACCCAGAAAGAGAGTCCTGCTGAGGCATTGTGTACATTGGGTTGTTTGACCAGTGGACATGTTTGCCCAGGATTGTCTCTACTGAGTTAATGGATGTAGGTAGCACCATTCCCTAGGAAAGGTGTCCTGAACTGTATGAATAAAGAAACTGAGCTAAGCACAAGCAGGCAAGCGAGCAGACACACATTCATTTCTTTCTGCTCCTAATTATTGGAGATGATGTGAATTGCTGTTTTCAGTTCTTATGACCTTGACTTCCCTTCTATGATGGACTGTAACCTGGGATTGTTATCCAAAATGAACTTTTTCTCCCCTAAGTCAAGACATATTATCATAAAGACAGAAATTAAACTAAACAGAAGGTAGTATTTCCTACTTGATTATTCTATAAACTTAAAATGCTACCAAAAATTAAGACAAAGTCAAATTCCTAGAGAACTCTTTAGGCCTCCCACGTATTCTGAGCTACGACCTGGGGTTTGTTCCCTTCTGCAGTAAGTAGGTGCTTTTTTAGGAAATCATCATGGAAAAGATGCTTCCTGGTCAGCAAACATGAGTGCTCAGCTGTCTTCTCTTCATCATACCAGACTCAATTAGAATGAACAAATAGATGCATGCTCGCAGATTTCAGCACGACAAGTGTTATCTTTAATATTCTATACATTTGAGAATTTACAACTAAAAATGTAAATGGAAGAGATGATACCAGTTGAAAACTTTTTCAATATTTTTATACCAGTTGGAAGATCAAGCTGAATTTCACTAGGAATTATGCCAGCTTGTAGGTGGTTGAGACTCATGACATATAAATAAAGGTGTAGCTAACAGATTATTGTCTTGGAGAAAAGGTACCTGTCAACAGATCAACACATCCTAATTGGAAGAATCCTCATTATGGACAGAAACGGAATCATAATGGTTTGGATGTGATTTATCCTGAGAGTTCATGAACTGTGTGAAAGTCAGGATTTATTTTTCGTGTGTCGGTTGTTTTTATTTTAAATTATTAGATGTATTTACTTATTTCATGTGGGGGTGGGCACATTATGTGTCACAGCATACATGTGGAAGTCAGACAAAAACTTGCAAGAGTTGGTTCTCTCCTTCTACTGTGTAGGTTTTAGAGATCAAGCCCAGGTTATCAGGCTTGTAATAAGTACCTCCGAGCCTAGTAGGAAGGACCTTTACACGTGAGGCTGAGCTGGAGATCTTTAGGTCATGGGAAGAATTTCCCACCAACGGAGTTAAAGTAGGCTTTGTGGAAGCCTTGGACTCTTGAAAAGTAGATTGTGGTAAAAAGCAAATTGAGTGCTCTAGCTTCCTGTCTGGTGATATGATCTCTCCCTGACACACAACACTCCAGCCACTGTGGTGCTGTCTATGGTGGGTCCTCAGGAGATCTCAGTTGCTGACAATGCCACGCTTTTGAACTTCCCAAACTTTGAGTCAAATGAGCTTCTCTTATTTTATAAAATTATCCTGCATTGAGTGTTTCTTTATAGCAACAGAAAAACAACCATTAAAGAGGACTGCCTTAAGGTAAAAGGAGGAGTCTTCAAAGGGGAGAATACATAATCAATCAAGAGAGGAAATTTGTTATCAGAATGCCACATGCAATCAATTATTTGGTGCCTTTTCACTGGACAATCATCAGATTCACAGAACAGGAACAATTGTTATATGTTTGTAGTTGTTTTTATTCAAAGGCTAAAGAAATAGAATTCGAGGTGTTTTTTTTTCTCTTAAAAAAAAAGAAAAAGAAAATACAAGCTGAGAATGGCCCAGATGTTATCTCACACACACACACACACACACACACACACACACACACACACACACACACTAATAAAAACCCTTTCACCTTCTCAAATAAGTGACCATGGAGAAATTGCTGAACGGTTATGTCAAGAGAGCAGAATTCAGGTGCAGTGCAGCCCCGCAAGTGAATTCATATTAGCACATACAAGACTGCAGTTTCAACTGCCAGCAGCAAAAGGAAAAGCAACAAGAAAGCAAAGTTCAAAAAATCTTCATCTTCACCAAGCCCTCAATTTAATTAGCCAAGAAATGAAGGACAGCATCAATATCTAAATTATTTTTCACATTGCATATTGATACATTGAAAAAACAATTTGAAATTCAAGCTATACACTTTGGATTTATATACAGAATTTTCTGTTATACTTCAATAAAAAGTTAAATAAAATAATAAAGGCTTAGCCTTAGAAAATGAAGCCTATCTCCCCAGTTAGAACATTCTCTTCATCTTTTATTTGTGCATGTATTTATGTATGTGAAATGTGTATACAGGTGTACATGCATATGTGTGCCACTTATGTGTGGAGACTAAGAGTCAGCTATGGGTAAGTGTCATTTTTCAAGAGCTGTCTACCTTGATTTTTTTGAGTCTCTCTGGGACTTAGGGATCATGGATTAGGGTAGTAATCCCTAATTCTGGCAACTGTGCCAGAATCCTCTTATCTCTGACTTTCCAGTGCCTGAATTAAAAACATACACTACCATTTTTACCTAAGTACTATGGTGGGGCACTGATTCTTCTTGTTTGTTTGTTAGGGTTTTTGTTTTGCTGTTTTGTTTGGTCTTACCAGACAGGGCTTCTCTGTATCCCTAGCTGTCCTGGAACTCGCTTTGTAGACCAGACTCACAGAGATGTACCTGCCTCTGCTTTCCAAGCACTTGGATTCAAGGCTTACACCACCATTCTCAGCTTGGAATAAAGATTCTCGATTACCTGCCAAATTTTACAGAGTGAGCTATCACCCAGTCCCCAAGCATTTTCTAATGCATGCTTGCAATTGAACACACACTGGGTGTACTGTTGGGCTCTTTTCCAGGCGTGCCTCTATATGTGAGAGCTTTCAGAAGCAGAGCCAGACACTCAGGGAATATTTAGGAGACTTGTCATCTTACAGAAGCAAAGCAAATCCTTCCCCTTCCTCTCTAAGTTCATAAAGGAGAAAATCTTGACTTTATGATTGTTTGGAACATATATGTAATGTGATACATTTTTCCACAGTCCATAGTTTTCCAAAGGGGGAAAAAAACTAACCACAAAATAAAGAGAGGTGTCAGATGTGTTTCTCGAAATAGAGGGAGTCTAGACTGGAGACTGGAGCCTCAAAACCATCAATAGTTAGCTATGAGGTGACCATGATAAGATGTGCTATTCTATAATGATGGAGTAAGATCCCTGAACTGGACAGATAGCAAACCTGGCTTGGTTTTCAGCTAGTAGAAGGCTAGTTCCCAGTAACCATAGAAAACACACTCTTACCTGGTTGTTACCTGTGGACAAGCCAAGCTTCTGTGGAAAGTTCTTAGGAGGTAATTACAGCTTAAATGTCAAATAGACACGTCACAGCAGCTCTAGACAAAACAGTCTTGAACCAGAGGCTGCTGCAGCCAAGCCAAATTCAGGAAACAACAAGGAAGCTTTCCTATTTTGGTTAAAACAAGCAATTTGTAATGACAGTACTATCATTTCTCTTCTCCATTGTCCTAGTGGCTCTGCTATTAATCCAAACTGTGCTCTCACCAAACTGGAGAGTTTAAGGACTCAGAGAGGCTAAAGATGCTGGCCACGACTATGCACTGAAGCCAAGAGCTAATTCTTGTATCTATACTCAGTGTCTACTATGTGCAGCTGAGAAATGGGACAGTGGAACAAGCCAACAGGAGTTACTGAAATAAAACTTGGAAATAACATTTGACAGAAAATTATTTTCTCAGCTTAAATGGATGGGTTCATGAAGGTCTTCTGGCCACTTTCAAAAGGAAAATCAACATGGGATATGAGGGGAAGATAATTCAATCTGAAGCCAATAAACCTGCAATGAAACTCTGGGGTTGAATCTATCTGTAAAATGAGAAAATAGCAATGACTTCCACCAAGACTTCATAGAAAGGCTAAAGAAATGAAGTGTATGAAAAAACAGCTAATAAAAACAAGCTTCAAGAGGAAACCATGCAAACAGACCCTTGATATATGAGGCTGTACCCGCCCTCTTGGGCAGACAGGTAAGGCACCATGTGGAAAGGGAATGCTTGGAACTGAATGATTCTGATGGGAACTCAGCAGAACAAACAAAGTGATCAAGACTGAAAATCAATGATGTGTTCTGAGGCAGTGGTCAAATCCAGCCCCACAAAACAAAAACAAAGTAAAACCCTACCCATCAAGATGCTGCATTCCTTAAGGTTAGAAATTGTTTGAGTAGTATTCCCTTAAGTGTAAACTTAGATGACACAACAGTGATCCTACAGCAATGGCCATCGTATGTGCAGAGTTCAGAAGTCTTCTGGAAAGTGCACCACCATTTCTAGATTGTGGCTCATATGCCAATGGTTACATAACATGCAAAAGGTTAAATATTTGCTGTTTTTTAGCAAACTAATTGACACAGCTAGGATATGAGGTAATATCCAGGAATTCCAGGGGAGGACAAAGTGTCCTGCGAACTTGAAAATTCAACATTGCCCGAGGAATCCTGCAGTCATCTCTTCACTTCCCAGAACCAGAGATGACTCTTGAACCCTGTAACTGTGATAGTCAAATATAACACAGAACATCTTAAAAAAAAAAAACCTAGAACAAAAGAGGGTCTGCTGTCCTGCTAGACTCAAAGATCCCCAGCATAAAGCCAGAGATGTTTCAAAAGTAAGAACATATTTCCATGCAATGAAAGAGTTTACAATATTAAAGCCAGCATGGATGACTTTCACTAGGAGGCTAAACAAACTCCAGTCTTCCTGCCTAACAACTCTCCTTACTGAGAAAGTCAACCCTTTAATTTTCTTGTCCTAGGTCAAGATCTTTCAAGAAGGAAAATTTTACCTGCTCAATAATGACTTCCCTGGTGATGTGACTGAATCAGGACCCAAAGATGCCAAAAAATACTCTTAGCTCTCCCTCTTGGCTCCAAGCACCACCATGCTAAGGTAGGGCTTTACCACAGTGAAAAGACTCAAGGTAAGACCTTGCAAGTTCTTATTTTTTGTGACAGTTTTAGTTTGTGACAGAGAGACTGTCTTCCATTTCAAGGCAGATCTATTCCAGAACATTGCACCATGCAAGCAGCAGGACACAGGGCTGTCTGGGGTGCAGCCACCAAGCAGACACTTAAGCAGAGATGAGTGAAGTCCACATGCAGTCTGAACAGACCAATTTGGAAACAGTCATTGTCTACAAACTATGACAGTATCAGATGAAACTGTCATTTTGCAGATAATAAAGTCACCATTTCCTGTAATGTGAGCTATAGGCAAATTCCCAATTTTTATTTTAAATTTAAAAATGTGTAATCTATAATTTATGTGTGCACATGTAAATGTGATATTTGTTGCTATATGTCTCTCTCTCTCTCTCTGTGTGTGTGTGTATGAGAGAGAGAGAGAGAGAGAAAGAGAGAGTGAGAGAGAGAGAAAGAGTGAGAGAGAGAGAGTGAGAGAGAGAGAGTGAGAGAGAGAGAAAGAATGAGAGAGAACCACTGCATTCATGTAATGATCCAGACGACAAGGGCTAGTTCTCTCCTCCACTGTGGGCACAGGGATCAAGTTCTGATGTCAGACTGGCAAAGCAGCACTCTCACACCTGAGCCATCCCTCTGGTCTGAAATTTCCACTTTTCTGCTCATTGGCTTCTACTCTCAAATTTTATGGGGCATAATGGCATACAATCTTTATGGTCCCACTCCCTGCAACCTGACCCATTCCACCTCCACACATACAAACATGACACCACCCCAGGGTCTTGCCCCCACCCTTCCTCTGCCTCAGACTTTTCCTTCAAGATTCTCTATCCCAGAACAACCTAACAGGAACACAACCCGAATCATTTATAAGACTTAAAATTTTCTAGTAGTAAAACATATTTTATAAAAAAGTAAAGTTCACAGGGGAAACTCTTAAAAAGTTGTAGTGAAACACACATAATAAATGTTGTCATTTAACCCAGTTTTCGGGACACAGTTCAGTGCCGTTCCGCAGTCACCTGTCCAGCAGCACTTTTACCTCGCAGGCCTTTGCTGTCGTCTTAAACTGAAATGACCCTGCATCCACTCATCACTAACACCCCACTGGCCTTTCCCCAGGTCCTCTACACCTTCTCTATGGGTCTCACTGCAGCAGGAACCTCATCAACGCAGGAACTTTAATCCTTTTGTGTCTAGTTTGCCTGGCTTATCATTCATTTTAACACAGACTGAGAGTATGTTTTCTAAAATGCGTGAAATAAGAAGTGCTTCAGATTTTGGAATGTGTTTTCAAATTTTTGAAGATAACATATATACACATATATATATACACACACCTCTTTCTGTATGTGTATATATACATTTTATATACAACTTGTATATATACAGATTTGCATTGTATATAAATATCTTAGAGATGAGACCCAAGTCTAAAGACTAACCTTTTTTATGTCTTATGGATACTTGTGCACATAGCCTGGAGATCAAGTCACATAATGCTTTTAATAATTTCATATGTAAAACAGAAACTTTATGGTGCTGGATTCTACATCAGTAGCATCATAAATACTACAAACATATTGAGATTTTGATGTATTTCAGATTTTGAAGCTAAACATACTCAAGGTATAATGTATTCTATTTAACCTGAAATATAAAAAATGTTTTACAGTATAATGAGAACAAAAGTTGTTTTCTTAGTCTGGAAGTCAAACTCAGGACCTCATACATTTAGACAGTCACTCTACCACTTAGTATATCCTCAGATCTGCAATATTTAATGAAAAGATTTGATAGGCTTTTTCAGCATATGTTTTATGTTTGCAGCATCTTATATGGTTGCCTGACCACTATCAAGTACTCAATGATACAAGTCATGAGTGGCCCTCACAGTGGCAAGCTGAGTTATCTTATTTACTTCATCTGCCTTTTTACTACTGAAATTATTTCTGTTCCATGTTTAAATACTTTCTAATGCATCAGAATATAAGTTCCCAAGAGCATGGGGCATATCTATCTTTGTTTGTCTGTTTCCTCCTCTATACAAGCATACATGAACTGAAATATGGATATATAAATGTCTTTCGGTAAACATATTTTAAAATCACTACTGGTGGAAATACAAAGATCTGTCTCCAAGTGCCACAGTGATCTCACACTATCTGGACAGTATATTTTTACTATCACTATTTTGGGGTGACTTTGTATTGGTTCAGGTGCTTGTACCCTTTGCACGGTCCACCTACATGCCAGTACTCTCTCCCCAGAGGGCACTTATTCTCACTCCTTACCTCCACTCCTGCACCCCCCTTACAAGGCACCACTCCACTCCTGCAGGAGCCAAACTAACACCCCAGCAGTATAAGCTAGAGGAAGGAGCAAAGAAGGCAACCTTTAAGGAGACACTCAACTTCACATCTCTACTCTTTCTCTATGGAATGGAACAGTAACAGTGCATATCTGTTGTATGGGTTGTTGGAAAAACTAAAATGAGTTAATTTCCACCAGAAGATTTGTGTAACATTTAATATATAGTATGCACTCAATAACTCTCATCTAAAATTATGACAGAGTTCTCACAATCATACTACAACTTTTATGACCTCATTTTAACTTATTTAGCAAGTATTTAGTCATAGTAAGTATGAGGCACTGCATCTGCATGGCCCTTGGTCTCAGCTTATGGTCAGGCAGACAGACAGACACAATTATACTGTACTCAAGAACCCCACAGGAGAAGAATTAACTCGGGTGGATGGGTGACGGGCAAGGAATTTCATGGAGGAAAGGACATCTAGACCAAGAGCATAGCAAGAAAGAAGGGTGAGTGAGTGTGAAAGAACTTTCTACAGTTCCATTCCAGGCACCAACCACGTGGAACTTCTCACTCCCTGATGGCCAGTCACCTTTCATTACTCTCCTCACTTTCTTGCATCTACTCTACCTTTGCCTGTCTAGCCCAAATAGATGGAGAATTCCCCCACATAGACATTACCCTGTCACAATGCAACATATACTTTCTGTTTTCTTTCCTAAGAATAAACACCCACAGCTCCAGAACTGTGGCCTGAATCACGGTCCTAGACCTGAACATGCTAAGCAAGCAGCTCCTAACTTCAACACATACACACTTATTTACGGTTTCAGATCAGTTCAAATTCTATACACCTACAAATGCAAGAAAGAATGGTACAGGCTCTGCCTTTATAACATTATTTCTACCTATGAACCAGCATGCCAAGCAAGAGTGCCAACTCCAGACTTTCCCTTAGAAAAGCAAGTGAGCTTCCTTGACCCACGTACACCACAGCCCACACAGCAGACACAGGCCTAGCTTTGGACTTTGCCAGAGACTCACCTTAACAACCGGACAGTTTCTTAGGTTCTCTGAAGGTTAACTATAAAAGACATTCATTCATATCAATGCCTTTTTCCTTTACACCTGCTCTTTAGGCTGGCCAACAGTGTCACTCATTATAAAGCTATGAGAATGCTTAATTTTTACCCCATTCTTTCAGCACAATTGGTGTGCCAAGGGTAATTATCATAAAAACTGAGGGAGTGAGTAACAACCCTCAGGCTTTGATGGAGACACTGAGTTAATGAGCCTCAGGTTTCATACAACTTTTTAACTCAAAGCAAACAACAATGGGGAAAACACCTTAAGTTTATTGATGTTTAAAACACAAGAATACATTTTATGGCTTTACACTAGGTAAAGAGCCAGGATTTCAGCCTGAGTAAGGAAGGCACAGGGAAAAACACAGAACTTCTCTGTGCACTAGACCTGGCCTGGAGTGAGAGCTGCGCTGCGCAGTTTTCTCCTCCAAAAAGTGAGGACAAAGCACTAACCACCTTCTGAAGTAGTTATAAGAATCACAGGCACAGAAGATGTCAAATGGTGTGGGTGAGTATTGGATGTTCAACAGACCCGACCTCTACTCCGTACGCATGATGTGAAGAACAAGGTTTTAGTAGTAAAAATGAGTTCATAGAAATATATCCACTGAAAGATAAAAGATGAAAAAAGCTTTTAAAAAATAGAGCTGGTGTTTACAAATATATCTGCTATGCTTCACATTTCTTTATTTTCCCAGATCTCTGAGCAGAGCATGTGAAAATCATTGCACCACAATCCTTATCATTCTAATCAATGAACCACAGTGTCTGTTTTCAGAGCTATGATACCACTGATGGTTTTGTAACTCTACTATACTGAAGTGAATTAAATGCTCCTAAATAGTCGAGAAATATCTAAAAGCCATGAGAGGATCTAAAGGTTAAGTTCCCAAGTGTATCAAAATCACCTTCAACACTCTTCATGAGCCGTACATTTAAATGACCAGTTACCACTTCTTAGAAGACCATCAAAGAAGACCAGGATGAATTCAGCCACCAAAGGCAACAATCATGAGCAATCACCATGTATCTCCAACTACTACTTGCTCTCTGTAAGTCTTTCCTATCATGTCAGTTATTTCTCCAAGAACCCATGGAAGGTAGATCAGGCAGTGGTTATCACCAACAAGTAGCTGATGGACTGAGAGTCTCAAGTCTTAGCGATGTTCATACAGCTAAAACAATTTTGTAAGAGGCAGGGCAGAAGGCAGACTCAAGACATAACCCGTTAGGCATGACTTCTGCCCTTTGCACTATGTGTGAATCTCTAATGTATCACAGCCCAGTTCTGCTGAATGATCACAGAACTCTCTAGAAGTTCTCAACTTCACAGGGTACTTGATTGCCTACCTCTAGGTCTTCAGCTCTCCTTGTCCTTAAGAGAAGTACCACTCACTACATTCTACCTGTGTTTGATTTCTCCATGGCAGTCACCTTTGCAGCCTTTCTAACCAAGGGTTTCTACCTCTTTGGAAGGTACTCAGTATTTCTCAGTTTGACTGGTGTCACGACAAAGCAAGACACCACCACAAAGGCAAGACACTCAACTTCATATGAAAAAGCAAAACAATCCTGTAC